TCTAATGTTCCACCCAACAGTAAGTCAGCCCTGGAAGTCATCCTTGAATCCTTCCTCTCCAATTACCAAGCCTCGTATATCCCCCATCCTAAATGTCTCTTAAATCTCATTATTTCTGTCCTCTGCCACCACCATAACTATCATCTGTCCACCCACTCTAACAGCCTGAGTGGTCTCCTGACCTCCAAGCTGACTTCTCCCTAATCCATTTACCACTTTGTAGCCATCAGCTATCTTTCCAAAATGCTGTACTGGTAACTCACTTCTTCAGTTTTATTGCCCATGGAATAAAATGCAAACTCCTTACTATGTTTCCTAAGATCCTCTTATGATTTGCTCCTGCTTATCTTTCTAATGTATTTCCAGCTATTGCATTGCTTATATGCTCTGCACCAAGCATTTGCATACATTTACACGCATCTGTTTCCTTTGCCTGGGAGACTCCACACTCCAACATTTGTCTAGGTTCATCGCAAACCTTCAGTGTCATTTCCTTTTAGAGGCCTTTCCTGACTTCCTAGACTAGGACTGTTCTCTTTACTATGGGCTTCCTTGACAACATTCATTGTTCTTTGTTAATTTATCCGTATACTCCGAAAGTAGGGCTCTGTCTACTCACTGTTGTGGCCCCAATATCCAGCAGTCTCAAAACTCTGCAGGCATCAAAAAATGCTGCTGAATAAATGAAAAGATATACAATATATAATAAAAATATTAAATAAACCATTAATAATAGGAGATGTGCTCCTTTATCTGGAATGGTATACATAGTCCCTATAGATTTTCATTAAAGTTAGAAGCATAATATTTCATGGTTTTCATAGGTAAGAATGAAACGGACACTTCAAGTAATATTGGAAGTTGTTACAATGGAAAACATACTGTGACTTAATGGCTTTTGTGTCTTTTATATTGTTTCCAGGCCAGAAAGGAAGATAGGTAATTTTAATACTCCTGGAGACATTGGTGTCAAAAGAGTGGTATTGAAAAAGCTAGCTTAAAGGCAGGATAAATAAGAAATTTATCAAAAAGTCTTTGACTATAACACATACATATACACAAGGATTGCATTTATATAGATACTATAAAATATTCAAAATCATTACCACTAAACAAATATACAAAAAAGAAACTATAAATATTTTGAGAAAGATGACTTCAATACATGCTGTTATTTTTTTTTTTTCTAAAGGAAAACCAGAGCAGCTGGCCTTACAATAATGAGAAAAGGTATTGATGACTAGCCTTCTAAAAAAAAGTGCCTGAAATGTTCATTCAAGGCTGGTATTCATTCTTTATTCAGAGCCTGGTTGTCAGCTTGAAAAGCAACAGAGATTACTGATGCATTCTAGGGCCAAATCATGGAGGACATAAATTTGCTCTTAGTACAGCAGTGAATCAAGGGAGGAAAAAACTTATTTGTATTCCAAGGGTCCTATGCATTCTGTTTGGCTTCAGTAAGATTATTTTAATTAATCATAAGCAATATGGCACAACTTAGAAATAACCATAATTTGATATTTATTCCATTTCATTAGTTCAACACAGCAAAGCCATCCTTTAAATCCTGATACTGCATGATTAATATCTTGCATTGGTTTATTTGTACTTTTTTACTGAGTAGATATTACAGAAATAAAGTATTCTAAAAGGAATTTTTGAACTATTTAGGAGCTTTAAATTTATTTTAGATTTGCTTCAGTTTGGAAAAGTGGTTTAAAAAAAAAGCTGGGGTTAAGATATACGTAGTGGAGTGAAAATGAAAAAATAAACAGCAGTGTTATGTTTACTAAGGACAAAGTTAAAGCTGTGTTTTCAAAGTAATTCATGAGAATTCCCATGAAATTAAAACACATGATCAATTTTGCTGTTTTAAGAAATGACTTCAGAAACACTAATACATTTCACATTTTGGTTAGAAGAATCATTCCTATACTTTTCATTTATTAAAATACACACATACAAAGTTCTGATGAAATTAGGATTAGTTTTACATCAACTATGTTACTGAGATTAGTGGAGAAAGAAATTTTAAACAGGAGCAGTGCCTAGGAAGAAATAATTTTAAGAGGCCTAGTGGACCAAATAAAAAAGAACGTATTTCTGAACCTCTTTATGCAAAGAGATATTGTGAGTTGTGTATTTAAGACAACACCCTTGCTGTTGTGCAAGTAATCTATTTGGCAAGCTCAAATAGGAAATAACTGTGATGCAAAATGGTATGAGTATCACTTGAAAAAAGCTTATAATAAAAGAATTACAGGAATTCAAAAGGAACTTGAACCCGGGAGGCGGAGCCTGCAGTGAGCCAAGATCATGCCACTGCACTCCAGCCTGGGTGAGACTCTGAGCCCACTGTCACTCCAGCTCAGAGTGAGACTCTGTCTTAAAAAAAACAAAAAAGAAATTCAAAAGGAATATGAGCTCCAGTTGTAATTAGAGAAGACTTCATGAAAATACAGATGTGAGATGGTTGTTAAAGGGCAGAGCTTTCTAAAAGTAAAAATAGAGGAAGATGTTTCATGATTTATAGAAAACAACCTAAATGAACCTTATTATTATCTTTCAGTAAATATTTACAAAACGAAAATGCTTTGGAAGTCATCTCATCTGCCCAGATTGATTGTAAGTCATAAAAGCAGTGGTGATGGCTTAAAATGCCTTATAAATCTGAAGCTTATGACGATTCCTTCATTAGGAAAAGATATAGAATAACTCCCTTTTCCTCCATAATGACTGCATTTCATCCCAAACACCACTGCTGCTAGGTATTTCCCTCTCCTCCTTCTGTCTCCTCCTGGGAAGGAGAAGAAGGATCAGCAAAACAAAGGCCCAACAGATTGAAAGCTTCAAGGAAGTAGAATAAACACAGAATATGTGAATTAAGGATTAAAAAGCATTCATTGGATTTGATAATAGAGGTAAATAGGTGACATCAACCAAAACAAGCGAAGCCAATTGTTTCCCCTGTGGTACACAATGCATTTTTTTTTTTTTTTCCTGATTCTATGCTTGTGCATGACCCTGTTGAGTAGTACACCAACTCAACAAGAAGGTAGTTATTACCCAGTAACTTTCATTCTTCTTAGGGTATGAAAATTGGCCACTGAATGTTCTGTTCCAAAATTCCCTCAGCAAGTTAAGCTAAATATCTAGATTAAAAGATTATTTTGATTTTAAAATGGACACTACATATCTGGCTTATTTAGTCTGCAGGCACTTTTTCATCTTCCAAAAATGTTCTGAAAAACGAAAAAAGTCTATCATAGACTACTGAGCATATATACTGTAGGGCTTTAATGATTAACATGCCTGCTTCTATTATTAAGAAATCTTCACCAATTTCCTTTTGTAACATCCTTAGCTGCTTCAAAACCAGTACTATTAGGTTTTGGTTATCTCGCCCCAAATATATATATATATATATATATTTGAGTTTTATAAAATATACATACTAGTTGCCTCCTTTTGACTGTAAGAGCACTTAGACTTTAAACTGTGACATATTTTCTTGAGTTAAATTTGACAATACACATTTTCATGACGTTGGAAAGGAACTTCAAATGGCTCTCTAATCTCTTGTTCTTTCTAGGCTACCCAAAAGAGCAAATCAAGTATTTTATTAAAGCTATCAGAAAATGTTTTTTTAATGTCCAAACTGAATTGCCACAATAGAATTTGGTTTATTATTCCTATTCTATAAAGATTACAGGTCATTAGTTATCTGCCTAGATAGCCTCCTCCAAATTATCAAGTTACAAAGTGAGCTCGCACATCAACCATCTATTGCCACAATAATGCTGGCAGCTCAAAACTTAGGTGTAAGACAATAAGCATTTATTTTTGCTCATGAATTTTGAATCAGTGGGCTGGGCTGGGCTAGTCTAGGCTAACCTTGTCCAGGCTTGCTTATCTGTCTACCACCAGCAAGCGAGTTTGGGCTTGGCTGGTCTAAGATGGTCTCACCTGAGATACCTCTCCTCCATGAGGTTTCTGATCTTCAGCCAGGCTAGTTTGGGATTATTCTCATGGCAGAGGTTTGAGAGAGGGAGGTAGGGAGATGGAAGGAGAGAAGGCTAAAACTTGCAAGGTTTCTTGAGACCCAGGCTTAGAACTGGCACAATCGTCACTTTTGCTACATTCTATTATTAGCCAAAGCAAGTTTCAGGGACACTCAGATTCAAGGGCGTGGGAACAGAACTCACCTCTTGATGGGAAGAACTGGAAATTGTACTGCAAAAGGAGTAGATATAGGCAAGGCTGAAGACCACAGTCACTTCTACAATCAACTTACCCAAACTTCGTTGAGTTGTTTCTTTAAATGAAGTAATCCGATATTAATGGAGCTTCCCCTCCACCCCTAAATCTAAGTTGTGCAAACATTAACTCATTTTATCATTGCAAAATACAATTTTTCTTTTTTTTTTCCAGACAGGGTCTCATTCTGCCTAGGCTGGAATGCAGTGGCATGATCTCAGCTCACTGCAGCCTCAACCTCCCCAGCCTCAAGTGATCCTCCCACCCCAGCCTCCCAAGTAGCTGGGGCTACAGGCACACCCCACCATGCCCGGCTAATTTTTGTACACTTTTGTAGAGACGGGGTTCTCGCCATGTTGCCCAGGCTGGTCTCAAACTCCCAGGCTCCAGTGATCCACCAGCCTCAGCCTCCGAAAATGTTAGGATTATAGGCGTGAGCCACCATGCCTGGCTGCAAAACGTAATTTCAAGAACACTGTTAAACTGAAATTAAGGTTTGCTGAAATTAGATGACAAGTTGAGGTTTTAATTTAAAACCACAAACAGTTGAGAAATATAGAGTTTATGAACTTAGGAGGAAAATGACATAAAAGCTACCTTACACAGTAGACAATATGAAGCTGTGCAATTAAGAGGAAATTATGTAGCTTAAGTGTTTTTTAAATTTTCATTCACTATTTAAAGCCTACCATAGAGTATTTGATAAATTATGATAAATCATTTTATTCAAACAGAAACACTGATGAACTTTTAAAATGAACCATTTATTAAATCAGACTGTTATTCTTAACAGTTATGTAAGTTACATGTATGTTTAAGTCAGAGTATTTCACATGGAAAAGTTTTTAACTCCTATAGGCAAGCAAAATCATATCACACAATATATAAGTGGGAAGGGGATACTGCTAAACATTCAAATAAGGCAAGTATATAAAAACAATAAAACAATAATGAAAAAATTCAAGCATTCCTTTAAGAGAATTCAACACTACAAGCTAAATGTACTTTCTGAGTGTATTCATATAATCAAGGCAGTGTTTCTTCTTTTAAAACATCAGGAAATGGAATAAGGCTCATTAATAGATACAGCTGCCCTCAAGATTTCAATTCAGTTGCTTTCTTTAAATTAAAATTCACAAAGTACACAATTAAGATATATCAAAAAACTGAATCTGCTACTCTAACAACAGCTGTCCATGCTTAATACTTAGTGGTTTATTTGACCAAATTAGTCTTTTCAGGGGGAAGAAAAAGATAAGCCACTGTAAAACATTTAGTTTGAAATGTATGCTAATATTTTCCTTAGAAATCAAAAGTTATGGAGGAAAAGGGTCATTTATTATAAGGAAAAGAAAGCAAAACACTAGAATGACCAACATTTTCAAGGAACAAGCACCACAAAGGACATTTGCATTCAGTTTTGTAATATTTATCAATGCATTTTTCTTACTCCAACCAATCTACTTCATCAAATTCTGAATCATCTTCCGAATCACTATATTCAACAGCAATACGGCGAGACAGGATGGTGGCAACATCATTTTCAATGCGTTCATGTTTAGCTTCCTGTTCACGCTGCTCTTCTACTTTGCGTAGTTGAATACCTGATATAGTGAATCCAAACCATTCATTTAAATCAAAATACTAAATACTAAATACTTGATATTATTAACATTTCTGGAATAAAATCAAATGCACATGAGAAATACTAATAGGAAAAATAAAAAGATCAGAAAAGAATGTGAAGAAATCATACTGAGAGAGGCATTAAATCTTTATGTTATCTGTGTTATTAGTTGGTAAAACTTACCAGGTATCCCAGTAGGTATCTAAAGTTTATCCATCATGGTCTACTATACCTCCTTGCTTACCACCCCCTAAAAAATTAATGAGGTGGTACATTTCTTCTATCATCCCAATGGTCAAATAAATTAAACATTGTTGAATATATTTTCTGTGGCTTCATTATCCATTGTACTTGAGGGAAAGGCACTATTATTCATTCTATATGCTCAGTGCCTGGCCTACAGTCATTGCTTAGGAAATAATGACAATAAATGAATGAATATGAGAAGTCTTTCCTTTGTTACTAAGGGAAGAACCTCACTCCTTTAAGGGCATCTGGTAGAGTAAGTGTCATGGATACCCGAAATGAACAGCCTTAACATTGAAGAAAATACTATTCTTAAAGGAGTTAATATACACATTAAGCATAATATAAAGGGTTTTAATTAAATATTCTATAACACAAGTCTGATATATTAAATTTCTCATTCACTCAATAAACATTTTAAGGATACCTACAAAGCATGAAAATAAAATGATCAAATGTGATCTATTTTCTGGAAAATGATTTTAAATATAAGTTGGATATAGCTTTACTTTCTAAAGGCCATTTGTACACAACATGATCACCTAAAATTTTATAAATAAGGAACACATTTTTGTCTTAAATATTTAGAAAGTTTCCAATGCTACTATAGCAATGCTTTTCATGGAGCTGAGAAAATTACCTTTTCGTATTGCTTCCAGTAGCACACTCCTGGCATCACTGATTACAGGTAGGGTTGATGGATGGCGCTTTGGCTCAGAAGCAGGTATAACTTGTGATGGAGGAGATGGAGGCATTAATGGAACATGGGGACCTGGGGCAGTAGATGGAGTTGGATGTAGCCCAGAGGGAGGATGAGCAAGAGCTGTAACTGTGACAGGTGATGATGGTCGAATGCCAGGTGGAGGCAGAGGAGGCGGTGGTGGGGGTGGAGGCAGCCCCTGAACTTCACCTTGTGGGAGTGGATGAACTGGTACAGTTTCACATACTGGGGCAGCTCTAGCTACTGGTGGAGAGGGCTGTACTAGAGGAGGTGCAATTGGAGGAGGAGCTGGGTGAAGAACTCCAGGGGCAATCTGAAGAGGAGCTGGAGGTGGTGGTACTGCTGGAGCTTGCAAAGCAGTGGTTGGAGGTGGAGGTGGGGGAGGCACTGGAGGGGGAGGAGTTGAAGTCATTGAAGCTCTTAATGAGGAAGTTGACAAGGCAGATGGAAGAGGTGGTGGAGGAGGTGGGGGAGTGGGGCTCACAAACACAGGTGTTCTGCCTGTAGCCGGTGACTGAGGGCGATTTTCTATCAAACCTGTAGCAGAACTGAAATGACAAAGAGATTCTAGCAAGTTATTAAAAGAGAAAAGCCTAAAGAGAAAATCTAACCACACAAACTATAAATGACTATCTGTAATTATATCAAAATAGATCCATTAACATGCTCCTATAGAAATTTAACATCTTCAACAGTATTTAGGGAAAAAAAGAACTAAAAGCACATCAACAAAAAAAGTTAATGAGTGGTGCTTTGGTTTGTAATAGTCTAAATAGTCTCATTCTTTCATGCAACTTTTGCATCCACTCAGACATTTTATGCTCACTTTGATAAATAAAATGCTCAATTCTATACTGACAGGAGTCTCTGTAATGACTCAACATTGATCATAATGCAATTTTGTAGCAATACTTGTGGCCAATATAATGTTGTATTTATACTGAAACTATTAAGTCTCATCATATGCTATTTCAGTTACATCAATGACAGCTAATTACAAACCACAGAAAGAAATTCACAGCTCTCTCTTTTCCTGAGGATGGAACATCAAATGAGTCAGTGATAGAAAATTGGATTTTTAACTGAAAATTGTAAAGCTGATCTCTATATCTCTATTAGAAAATTTCCCTAATATTTCTCTATTAGAAATTTATCATTTGGATAATAACTGACAAGATTAAACTTCAAAATAGCTTTACAGAAAGATTATTATGAGCAACTGCCAATCCTCTCTGAAATTCTTTAAGTATTTTCCTTAATACCAAATTAGTATTAATAATCACATCTTTGGTTCCCATTTCTTAGACTGTTACCCACATTCCAAAAAATCCTTAATTTTTCTTAATACACTGCACATGATATGCTTAATAACAACACTATAATAAAATGAAACAGGCTTTAGTCTTTAAATTCTTATTAGCTAAATTTTCCTAGGAGAGTGTGTCAGCTCTAACCAGAAGATTACAAATAATGCCCCATAGACCAAATCAGACCTGCTGCCTGTTTTTATAAACAGAGTTTATTTAAATGCAGACACATTTGTTTATGTATAGTCTATGGTGGCTTTCATGCAACAATGGCAGAATTGAGTACTTGTGACAAAAACTGTAAGCCCTGAAAGCCAAAAATACTTACTATCTCGTCCTTGAAAGAAAAAGTTACTGACTCCTAAGATAAAACATCATATGCTTGTTCCAACATACCTGATACAGGTGGGTATCGGTTTCGCATCTCCTGCTCCATGCATTGGTGGAGGCGGAGGTGGTTCATGTGGTCTGACTAATACCCTTTCCTCAGCTCTAGTCAGAAGCTCACTCATCTGACTAAATGGCAAGGCAGAAAGTGAGTACGATCCATCCATATGATCCACGTATGTCTGAGGTCTAAAAGAAATATACAGTATCAGTGAATTTTTCTTGAATTATTGGGAGGAAAAGTGTTCTACATGAGATATTAAATATTTAAAGTTTATCCTTTCAATGCCAACATTTTAACTATTTTTAAGAAACTTTCAGAAAAGTATTACATTAATCCTGCTTTTAAAACAAAGAATGCTGCTCACAATGTAACCCTTACTTGCTGATTTAGAGATCTACTATGATGACCATCAGTTATTTTATTATTTTATAACAGAATACTAATTCAACTCACAGGATGAAAAGCATTACATACATAATCTAATAAACAAGAAAATAATTAACTTTTAGCAAATTGTGTGGAAAGCTATCTGCCTCTATTTCAGTTTTTTTCTTTACAAGAAGATGCCAATGACAGAAAGGTAGAATAGGAAAATGAGTTTTCTACTATCAGTATATCTCAGTGTGCTCTCAAATGACTTCTAAAAGTCTTGCACCAGAGAGAAAGGCCTCCCCGATACTAACAGCACAGAGGTGGCCAGCTATATTGTTTCTGTCCTTCTGCTGTTTTAAACGTGCAAGGGTACTCAGAAAACAGCTGAGTAACATAGCAACATGTGACTTAGATGTAAGCAAAATTTCAGATACCTCGAACATGTTAAGATTTATAAATATTTACTAGTACATTCTGGGGACAAAGTTGGATTTAACAGATGTACACACAGCAAGTCAGAAATTACTGTATTTAGTGAGCCAGATAAATACCTTAATTACTCAACTGTAGTAGAAATAAATGTGTCTATAATTTTTTAATGTCAATTCTTTCAGTAATACAGATAAATAGTATCTCTCAGATGTATATTTCTCCTAAAATAGGTCAAGATGTTGCACACTTATGGCCCAATAATTTATATGTATATTACTTAAAAGAAAACCTTAAGCTCTTCTCCATTAAAAAATCATATGACTAGGCTGGGCACAGTGGCTCACGCATGCAATCCCAGCACTTTGGGAGGCCAAAACAGGCAGATCACTTGAGGTCATGAGTTCAAGACCAGCCTGGCCAACATGGTGAGACCCCATCTCTACTAAAAATACAAAAATTAGCTGGGCGTGGTAGCGTGTGCCTGTAATTCCAGCTACTTGGAAGGCTGAGGTAGGAGAATCGCTTGAACCCAGGAGTTAGAGGTTGCAGTGAGCCAAGATCACACCACTGCACTCCAGCCTGGGTGATAGAGCGAGATTCTGTCTCAAAACAAACAAACAAACATGACTATACCCAAGTAAATGTCTTCATAGAGAGATGCCAGTTTAATGTGTTTGCTGGTAGTATGTTATTTAGTTAGGGCCCCTGGCCACTGAGAAAGGAAAAAGACCTATTCTTTTCTACAAAAGGGATGAGTACTTTTGTTTGAAAGTCCTAATGTATCTGAGGTGGGTGATGTGGCAAAGAAAGGAAGACAGGGGAAAGCAAAAGGAACAAAACAGAACCCCTTCTTCACTCCTATTTTATATGCAGTAAATCAATAGTATTTCAAAAAAATCCCAGACCCTACACTTCCATTACAAAATTCTAGCAGACTGTGCCCAAAATATTGAGAGACTATTGAGATTTCACACTAAAGCTAAAACAACCCTAAAGATCAGCCACTCCAACCACCTCTTTCTACAGATGACAACTAAAGTCCAGGTATGAAAATGACCTGCTCAAGGCCTGACTTTAGTAGGCCCACAGCGGTAGGGATTTTGAAGTAATCTCTATATTTATAACAGGGTCTGCCTGTTCAACAGTTTAGGACTCAAGACTTAGAAGTACAGATATTACAAATAAAGCCAATGTTTTATCATTTTTTTAAAAAAAACAAAAACAAAAGTAAAGAAACCTTGTTTCAAAATGAGAGGCTGGACCATTAGCAACTTCAATATGCTTATGTAAGAGATTAGCATCATCTTCAGCCAGCTCTGGACCTTGGGCCAGCTTCTGCCATTCTCGCCGCCTGTCATGAGGTGCTCTTGGCACTTTTTCTGGTTCATGAGGACGATCTAGATTTTTCTGCTATAACAGATGTATTGAAACAAAGTCAAATGCTTAAGTGCTAATTTTTTTAAAAAGAGGTTATAACAATCAAAATAACATTCTAACATCAACACTAAAAAAGACAATGTCATCGTAATATAGTAAAAGTAACACAGAAATGGTTCACTTGTACATTCCGAGTTAAATCTTAGCCAGTGTGCTGCAGTCCCAGTTTCCTGCCATGTTTTGTTTAACCCCTAATTCGAACTGATGGCGCCAGACACAAAATAGTACGCCTAAAGAATACAATTTGAGGTCAGAAAGTCTTTCACATGAAAAAAGATTCATGAACCCTTGCTCCACAGGCATTAGTTTGAAATTTCTACCATTAATGGCATTGCCTACCTCTAATCAAAATGTAAAAATGTACTAAGGTTATGTTATCTGGGAAGTAACTGATTAGTTAGCCAACACATTAGAAAAAAATTCAATTATCTAATTAACCCATAATAACTATATCACTCAACAGAAAACATTGTCTTTAAACAATAAAACAAAAAGTGATTCAAAACTGGGGGAGAAAGTATAGAAAGGGCTAGAGTAAGTGTAACAAATTCAAATGCCCAAAGCGGCCAAGCGGATAACATACATGAACGAAGTCAGTCGGGTGTAAGACGGGGCATGTGGTGAGCTAGACAGATATGTCCATCTCAGGCACTCTAGTTCCAAAATTTAAAAACCTCTGTGTTTGGCAAATGAAACACTCCCTACAGGCATAATCTGGCTTGCCAGTCACTAGTTTGCAAATGTTAGCTAGAATACTGGGTTACCATCTAGCAAAGAAGACAATACGACGGCATTATACAGGGATTAGGGGAAGCAGAGATAGTTACAGGAGAACCAGAGAAATGATAAAGACAGAACTTGCCTCCTTCATAATTCAGCCTAAATCTAACTTTGCTTCAACCTTCTGTGTTTTCAGTTATCATTAACATGAAATATAAAGCAGATAGAAGTGAATTTTATTAGAAAGTGGAAAATGACAACAGAAATAACAGAAATTTCATGTGAATATAATAACCTCTCCAACACATTTAGGAGAGAAACGTTTAGGATGTGCTCTGTAGCCAGAAAATATTAGCTTAATCTACATTACCAATATCTGTACAAGATTCCATTGTTCCTTCTTACCAAAATGTTCCTCTCTTCCTTGGTCCACCTAACTAACTCCTATCTGTTCTTCAAGATTCATTATAAGCTTTGTTGGAAGTGTTTACCCTGGCTGCTAGCTAAAGCAGATGCTATTTTGTGTTATCTAAACCCTTTATGCATACCTCTGCTACGGCACTTATTATGCCATACTCTAATAACCTAATTGCTCATCTGCTCCCCATCAGACTATGTTCTTTCTGTGGAGTTATAAAGACTTCAGTATTTAACTATATGGACCCAATAAAATAAAACTGTCAAAATACAAGATTAATGAAATTCAATATATGCAACAAAACACAAATATACAAAAATTAACCTCAATTTTTTAATCTCTTGTAATACCTTCTGCTTCCTCTTTTCCTTCCTCTTATCCTCTGTATCTTGCAACATTTTTTCTTTCCATAGATCAAAGAAATATGAAGGATTGGTATAAAACTTCAGACCTTCTTTACCATCATCTCTGAAATGTATCAATTAAAACACACATTAGTAAGACTTAGGCACTCAGAACAGAAATAATTTCACTAAAATGTTTATCCTCTTATATCAATAAAATACAGCTCCTGTTAAAATATTGACAAAATAAAATTGAATATTGCACCAATAGAAAATTTCTCACAAATCTGAGGAAACAAAGAAAAGAGGAAAACCAGATGCTTTTCTGAGTTAGTACTAATACTTCAAAGTACAGCTGGGCAATTTTCATCCCTAACTTCTGCTGAATCCCAAATTTTCTCAAAAGTCCTTTGGGCAATTCCAATAATTACAAATAGCTCTGCCAAAGATAAAAGCCTGAAAAGACAATAACATCATCTAGAATATAGAAATTTTGAAGTTTCTGCCAATACTATGATTTATCTTACTAAATCCAAAATACATCACGTAATAGTCATTCTAATAGTCACATTTATATCTAATGATCTGCACACTGACTTATAATTTCAAATAACTCTCTAAATACTATTTTATTCAGGATGTGTCATACATCTTAAATTACCCATTTAACAAACCACGTGAAAGAACTTCAAAAAAAGGTTAAATAATTCCAGATTTTATTCAAAGTGGTAAAAAGCATTTTAAGGTACTACCTATTCATTACATAAGAAGTTAATGCACACAAATCAAGAGTAGACGAAACAGGCCGGGCGCAGTGGCTCACACCTGTAATCCCAGCACTTTGGGAGGCCGAGGCGGGCGGATCACGAGGTCAGATGGAGACCATCCTGGCTAACACAGTGAAACCCCGTCTCTATTAAAAATACAAAAAATTAGCCAGGCTTGGTGATGGGCACCTGTAGTCCCAGCTACTCGGTAGGCTGACACAGGAGAATGGCATGAACCCGGGAGGTGGAGCTTGCAGTGAGCCTGAGTGACAGAGCGAGACTCTGCCTCAAAAAAAAAAAAAAAAAAAAAAAAAGAGTAGACAAAACAAGCAAAAATTATAATGTTTATTTTGTTAGAAGGACAGAATTTTGAGCTTTTTCCATTTGGTTAAAAATTAAATTAAAAGGACAATAATGACTCCTTATCTCTTTATATTAATAAGTTTACCAGTGGCTTTTCTTAACTTGTCAAAACAACTCTTTTGAATAGATGTCTTTTGTATGCCAGACTCTTAGGAATTCATCCAGTGAATAAAACAAAGGTTTTTCCAAAGGTGGTGGACAGAGAGGGCTCTATGTGTTGGCTAGAAGCCCAATGAAATAAAGAATGTTTGGGGATTTAGCATTTCAATCTGAAGTCTGAGATAAATAATAGGGCTACCATTTATTAACCTACCTACCTATAAGGAGTGAGTATATTGAGAGGTGGAGGCTGTTCACAAACATCGTACGTCTCCTGTAATGGAATAGGCAAAGTCTTGCGATCAAAAAGCTGCTGGTCTTGAATTGTAGAACTTCGGAAAGCTTTCCTCATTGTTATATCTTGCAAAGACACTGAAACAAAAATCAAGAATACATTTTATTTTATTTTACTAAGATGATTTAACATAAGGGCAAATTCATATACTGTATTTGTCTAAAAGTCAGCACGGTTCAAGAGGTTGTGACCTTAGTGGCTTATGAATCAGAAACCACATTATAAATGTTCTATCATTATATTTACCCTTATCATTCTGTGCCTAATTTCCCAATCAGATAGGTTTTAATTAACCTTTGATTTCTAGGGCTCAGAAGGCCCTAAAGACATCTGAAACATATCTACATTTCAACCAAATATACCTTTTTCTTTCTTCTACCTGCCATCATGGGCCCCCACCAACTTAGGTTCTCTTCTCCTATTAATCTTCTTTTCCATCTCCCTTTATTCCTTCTTTTTAGCTTACATCAGTAACTCTGAAAGGAATTACTTACTTATTAGTGGCACTGTGGGTTAAACACGCTGTTAACCTCTACACTACGTATGCTATAAATCTTTTGTGTGTACTATCAAGTTAAAACAAACTTTACTGTAAAGGAAATATTTTTAAGTATTGGGTGATCTATATTATTCTTTTTAACTTATATTTTATCTGTACTATAAGGATTTCTACCTAACTATAAGCTCTTGAAGACTCAGACTATCTTATACATTAGTATTCCCAGTAACTAGCACAGCCCCATCACATATGTGATGATTTAAAAATAACTTCATTTATTTTGAACTGTGCAGCATGTTAAAATAACAAATATACAAAAATGCTGCATTCTTAATTCTTAGAGTGATTTCCTGATATTAAAAAATAAAGTAGTTTCTTAGATATTTAATATGGCCTTAAGTATACAGACAAATACCCTCATAGCAAGGTCAGTATAACAATCCTAACAATTCTTTTTTTTTGAGACAGAGTCTCACTGTGTCACCCAGGCTGGAGTGCAGTGGTGCGATCTCGGCTCACTGCAACCTCTTCCTCCCTCCTCTTCCGTCCTCCTCCTCTCTCCTGCCTCAACTTCCCAAGTAGCTGGGACTACAGGCAACTGCCACCACGGCCGGCTAATTTTTTTTTTTTTTAAATTTTTAGTAGAGATGAGGTTTCACTATGTTGGCCAGGCTGGTCTTGAACTCTTGACCTTGTGATCTGCCCACCTCGGCCTCCCAAAGTGCTGGGATTACCGGTGTGAGCCACCACGTCCGACCAACAATTCTTAAGTTATCCTTCTCCCTAAAATAATTTTCCTATCATCTTCTCAAGTAAATTCACTCAACATGAACACGGGACCAATGGCACAGGTGGTGCAATAGGCTGGCTCTGCAACGGCGGCACCATAACTGCATTTCTAGCAACTCCACTGCTGCATGACCTGTAACACACTTATAAATACTAAAATAAAATTCAGAGAAGCAAAAAGTTTTTCCCCACTGTCACTAAAAAGTGGCACTGGAGATACAGTATTTAATGAGTACATACTATATGTGCTAGATGGTTTCACTAACTTTCATTTCATTTAATCTTTATAATTCAGTAAGATATGAATTATTCCATTTTGAAATATTACAAGAAAGCCAAGGCTAGGACATAGTATATAACTGACCTGAGGTTAAACAGTTAATAAACAGAAGAGCCAGAACACAGAAGTCAGATCTGTTTGCCTTTAAGGCTAATTTTTTTGCCACAATACCACACACACTGTTTTCAGGCTCCTGCCAGAGTGGCTTGTGTTTTCTGCAGTCAAAGTGGATCAATTCTTGCCACTCTCCTACCCCACTTATTAATCAATAAGTATGTAACTAAGATGAAACCTAGTGTTTAGTCTCCCCAAACTTCCTTGGTAAAGGATATAAGAAACATGTAAAGTAATAAGCATGTTGTACTTTTCTACCTTCAACTCCTCCCATTTATCGCTTGTCTATAAACTGACCATTGTGGTGAAACCCCTTCCACTTGCCAACAATAACATCTGATATTAATAAAATAGAATTATAAAGCAATAAATCGGTATAATGTTTATAAACATAATTGACTTAAATATAATTGTACAAGTCTTTGTTTAAAATTCATTTAAAAATATTTTCGAAATTGATAGTTTTCAGTTACTACAAAATGGTTAAAAAAAACTGATACCACACTATGCAATTTAGTACTGTACACATGATGTTATTTTTTTTGAACTCCCACTGAATTAAAAGACCAAGGTTAAATAACTGAAAACTCCTTCAATACAACCTCTCCAAAACAATTTCAAATGAAGTAGTTCAGCTTTTAGATTCTGAATTCTTCCCCCACTGCTCCACAAAATTTTAAAGGAAACTATGTATAATCCTGACAGTATAGTTGTTGAAATATTAAAATTTGTTTTTTAACACAAACATCTTATTTACTGTTATCTGTATTTTCACTTTCAAGTTTAACGGTGGTTCTAAGACATTTGTTAAAATGTAACAATATTTTGAAACTAAATGTTGACTTTTATTTCTGTTACATATGAGAACTGCCCGTGTATTTCTCTATTATTTGATGGCATAAATTTATATTTAAGTTAGAAATAGTTGAGCTATCTAAAAAACAAATTTTGGCTATAAATTATATATCTGAAAGCATGACCATAAAGTATTTTTTCATCACTAACAATGATTTTACTTCAAGAATTCCATGAGGTGTAATTAATGTATTGATACATGCACATGTTTCAAAGGACACCACCAAGAAAGACAACCTAAAGAATGGGAGAAAATATTTGCAAATCATTATTTGATAAAGGATTTAGATCCAAAATATACACAGAATTCCAACAAGTCAAAAATAAAAACACAAATAATCCAAATTATAAATGGGTAAAGGAACTACATAGACATTTCTCCAAAGAAGATATACAAATGGCCTATAAGCACATGAAAAGATGTTCAACATCATTAGCCATCAGGGAAATATAAATACACATTATATGAATTAACCTTGAAAACATTATGCTAAACGAAAGAAGTCAGTCACAAAAGACCACATATTGTACTATTCATTCATATGAAATATCCATACAGACAGATCCATACAGACAAATCCATATAGGCAGATCCATACAGACAGAAAGATCAGTGATTGCTAGGGGTTGAGCTGAAGGGGAAACAGAGTGACTGCTAATGAGTACAGGGCTTCTTTCTGGAGTGATACAAATACTCTAAAATTGATTGTGGTGATGGTTGCATAACTTGAATATACTAAAAAACACTGAACTGTACACTTCAACTTTAAATGGGTGAACTGCAAGGTATAGGTAGGTTGTGAAATATATCTTAATAAAGCTATTTTTTAAGTATTATTCCTTTTTTTCTTGTATCCAGAGCCCTGAGTTTACATTTTACAAGTGGCAGAAATCTAGTGTGCCAAGTATTTACCTCTCCTTATTTACACATTAGATTATTTCAAAAATAGCTGGTTCCATCACTAAGACATCCGTCATTACATTATATTTTTGTTCTTTCCAGTGACATCCTTTAGTATTTTTATTGTTAAAGTTCAGATCTATTATATAATTTGCATTTACACGAAAAATTATATCTATTATATAATTTGCATATATATTATTTAATGCAACAAAAATATTTTGAAGAGAGTGTAAGAAATTCCATTAAACAATTCTCTGTGGTAGATAAGTGCAAATTATGTTCTTAGTATTACATTTCTTTTTGTAAAACAAACAAAAAGAGGCATTTAGGAAACATCGGCATTGAACGTATTCTATCAAGGCATAAAACATGATTTTACCACTGAAGTTTCTACAGTTATTTTAGCTTATAGGGTGGCTTCCTTACCTGATTATTACTGATTTAATATCTTGGTATAGAATGTTTACACCCTACATACTGGCAATTTGTTTTTGAAATGTTCATTTAAAGTAGGAAGTTGCATTCAGTTAAATAACTAGTAAGACTTTAGCAATATGCACATAAAAAAGCATATTAAAAGCAGTTATATGCCCGGGTGCGGTGGCTCACGCCCGTAATCCCAACACTTTGGGAGGCTGAGGCAGGCAGATCACAAGGTCGGGAGTTTGAGACCAGCCTGACCAACATGGCAAAACCCCATCTCTACTAAAAATAAAAAAATTAGCCAGGCATGGGGGCAGGCACCTGTAATCCCAGTTACTCAGGATGCTGAGGCAGGAGAATCACTTGAACTTGGGAGGTGGAGGCTGCAGTGAGCTGAGATCGCGCCACTGCACTCCAGCCTAGGTGACAGAGTGAGACTCTGTCTCAAAAAAAAAGTAGTTACATTCTTGAAGAGTCAAACCTAAAGATTTCAGGTAATTTTCTAATAGTTTTTATTTCTAAGACAAAAGTATACAAATAAATTATAAGGGAGAAAAGAGAAAGAGAATGAAGAGAATGGAGGAAAATATCTGGTTAAAATGACTTATTTATGCCAAAATTAGGAGCTGTTTAGTGTACAAAAAGAAGAGATTTAAAACAGTAGAAAAGAAAAGCCAGGAGAGTCATACCGATGGCATTTTTAGATAATTCACTGATTTATTACAATATGTACACCAAAGGACATGGGTATGATCTGTAATACATTCATGATTAATATTGTTCTTAAATATATCATTCATCTCATCTAACTTAAAATATACACACAGAAGAAAATACAATATTAATAAGCTTACATTCTTCTTCCTTTGGATCAAGCTGTGTAACACTAACGGATAAACGGTCCACACGTTCTTGCAATGAGTTGACTCTGAAGGAAAAACTATGTGCTTCATTGAATAATTCTCCAAATATATCTTCAGCATATTTACCTAAGCAAAAATGAAACATGTATCATAAAATTTAATATCCAGAGCACTGAGTTTTTATCTTTGCAAGCAGTAGAAATCTAGCATGATATTTGCCTCAGATACTTTGTGATCAGAGATAAATATTGAACAATGTAATATTAAAACTGGTGTCCTGTTGAATTTGGCATTTATTTGGAATTACAGTTGACCCTTGAACAAAATCATTTAACTGTGCTAGTCCACTTACATGTGGATATTTTTCAATAATTACACTGAAAATTTTAGAGATTTGAGACAATTTGAAAAATTTTGCAGATAAACCACATAGCCTAAAAATATTTAAAAATTTAAAAAATATTTTAAAGATACGTTATGAATGCATAAAATATATGTAAATGTATTTTATTATTTACTACCACAAAATATACAGAAATCTATTATAAAAAGTTAAAACATATCAAAATTTACACACAAAACACAAACATACATAATGCCACTCATAGTCAAGAGAAACATAAAGAAATGTAAAGATGTATTAGGTTGGTGCAAATGTAATTACGGTTTTTGCCAACCTAATAGTACTAAATCATAACAATAAATTTAAGTGTAGTAATACTGTATTACTGTAATAATTTTATAGCCACCCTCTGTTGATATTGCAGTTAGCGCTAGTGTTGTATCCACTTAAAATGCTGTTTGAGCAGTTCTCTCTCCATAAATTGTATATGAGAGTAGGAAGTAATCTCTCATGGTTCTTGCGTATTTTTCACCATGTTTTATGCAATACTGTAAACCTTGAATACATTGTGAGACTCATTCAAAGTGCCACCAGTGATGCTGGAAGTACTCTCAAGTACAGGAAAGTCATAAAATTACAAGAAAAAGTTGATTTGCTTGATATGAACCACAGATTGAGGTCTACAGCTGTGGTTGCTTAGCATTTCAAGATAAATGAATCAAACTTAAGGGCAATTATAAAAAAAGAAAAGGAAAATCATGAAGCCATTGCTGCAGCTACATCAGCAGACACAAAAACCTTGTACTTTTTTGTGAATATCTTTTAATCTTGTATCGAAATGCACTTTTTGTGGGTGCATGGCTGTTACAAGAAAAGTCTACATATAGACTCTAACATGATTTGAGAAAAAGTGAAGTCCTTATACTACAACTTAAAGCAAAAGGAAGGTAAAGGATCTAAACCTGGAAAATTTAATGACAGCAAAGGATGGTTTGATACTTTTAGAAAGTGGTTTGGCCTTAAAAATGTCACAACAAGAGAAGGTGCAGCTTTTGTCAGCCAAGAGGCAGCAGATCAGTTCCCAGATGCCATTAAGAAAATAATTGGTTTCCATGTATGCTGCTTGAAAAAAAAAATAATAATAATTGGCCAGGCATGACTGTCTGCAATCCCAGCACTTTGAAAGGCTGAGGTGGGCAGATTGCTTGAGCTCAGGAGTTTGAGACCAGCCTGAACAACATGGTGAAACCCCATATCAACCAAGAATACAGAAATTAGTGGGGCACGATGGTATGCGCCTGTAGTACCAGCTACTTGGGGAGGTGAGGCAGGAGGATCACTTGAGCCTGGGAGGTCGAGGCTACTGTGAGTTGTGATCATGCCACTGTACTCCAGCCCAGCCTGGGTGACAAAGTGAGACCTTCTCTCTCTTTCTCTCAAAACAAAGAAAGAAACAAACAAAACAAAACATAACAGAAAAGAAAAAGAAAAAAATTGAGTAGAAACAATATCTGCCTGAACTGAGTTTTAATGCAGATGAGAATGTCTTATTCCAGAAAAAAAAAAAAAAAAGCCACAGAGGACATTTATTAGTAAGAAAAAGTGAACACCAGGATTTAAGGCAGGAAGGGACATGCTAACTCTACTGTTTTGTGCAAATGCAGGTGGGTTTATCATCAGAACTGCCCTTATCTATAAAGCTGCTAACCTCAAGCCTTGAAGGGAAAAGAAGGCCAAAAGAAGAAGGCAAGGCAATAAAAAGGCATGGACAATGAGGATCCTTTTTCCGGATTGGTCCCATCGACATTTTGTCCCTGAAGTCAGGAAGTACCTTGCCACTAAGGGACTGTCTTTTAAAATTTTTGTGATAACTGTACAACATCCCTGGCCACTCAGAACTCCATGAGTTTCACACTGAAGGTGTCAAAGTGGTCCACTTGCCCGCAAACATGACAGCTCTAATTCAGCCTCTACATCAGGAGGTCATAAGGACATTTAAGACTCATTACACACAGTATTCTATGGAAGACTGTCAACACTATGGAAGAGAATCCCAATAGAGAACATCATGAAAGTCTGGAGGGATTATATCATCAAAGATGTAATAGTTGTTACTGAAAAAGCCAAGAAAACCATCAAGCCCAAGACAACAAATTCATAAAATTTTAGAAAACTGTGTCCAAATGTTTTGCATGACCTCACAGCGTTTGTAACAGTGTCAGTCAAGGAAATAATGAAATAGTGGAAGGAAGTGGGAGTGTGCCAGTCCAGATCCTAAGCCTTGAGTGCTTCTGTTCTCTCTCTTACACTGTCATCATGATAAAAACGTGCCCTGGAGAGTTTGCACTCCAGTCAGTCCGCCGGCCCTCTGTAAAATACAGAACCTCCCTTAGCCATCTCAGCTGAATACTATAAACACCTCTACGCAAATAAACTAGAAAATCTAGAAGAAATGGATAAATTCCTGGACACATACACCTTCCCAAGACTAAACCAGGAAGAAGATGAATCCCTGAATACACCAATAACAGGCTCTGAAATTGAGGCAATAATTAATATCCTACCAACCAAAAGAAGTCCAGGACCAGACGGATTCACAGTCGAATTCTACCAGAGGTACAAGGAGGAACGGGTACCATTCCTTCTGAAATTATTCCAATCAATAGGAAAAGAGGGAATCCTCCCTAACTCATTTTATGAGGCCAGTATCATCCTGATACCAAAGCCCGGCAGAGACACAACAAAAAAAGATAATTTTAGACCAATATCCCTGATGAACATTGATGCAAAAATCCTCAATAAAATACTGGCAAACAGAATCCAGCAGCACATCAAAAAGCTTATCCACCATGATCAATTGGCCTTCATCCCTGGGATGCAAGGCTGGGTCAACATACGCAAATGAGTAAATGTAATCCATCATATAAACAGAACCAAAGACAAAAACCACATGATTATCTCAATAGATGCAGAAAAAGCTCTTTGACAAAATTCAAAAGCCCTTCATTCTAAAAACTCTCAATAAATTAGGTATTGATGGGACGTATCTCAAAATAATAAGAGCTATTTCTGACAAACCCACAGCCAATATCATACTGAATGGGCAAAAACAGGAAGCATTCCCTTTGAAAACTGGTACAAGACAGGGATGCCCTCTCTCACCACTCCTGTTCAATATAGTGTTGGAAGTTCTGGCCAGGGCAATCAGGCAGGAGAAAGAAATAAAGGCCATTCAACTTGGAAAAGAGGAAGTCAAATTGTCCCTGTTTGCAAATGACATGATTGTATATTTAGAAAACCCCATCGTCTCAGCCCAAAATCTCCTTAAACTGATTAAAGCAACTTCAGCAAAGCCTCAGGATACAAAATCAATGTGCAAAAATCACAAGCATTCCTATACACTGATAACAGACAAACAGATAGCCAAATCATGAGTGAACTCCCATTCACAACTGCTTCAAAGAGAATAAAATACCTAGGAATCCAACTTACAAGGGATGTGAAGGACCTCTTCAAGGACAATTACAAACCACTGCTCAACCAAAAAAAAAAAAAAAAAAAAAAGGACACAAACAAATGGAAGAACATTTCATGTTGATGGATAGGAAGAATAAATATCATGAAAATGGCCACACTACCCAAGGTAATTTATAGTTTCAATGCCATCCCCATCAAGCTACCACTGACTGTCTCCACAGAATTGGAAAAAACGACTTTAAAGTTCATATGGAACAAAAAAACCACAGCGGCGGTGGTCAAGCTGTATCCAGCACTTGGAGCGACGTGGATACGAGTCAAATCGGACTATCTGCAACATGGGAACCGTCTACTAAAAAAAAAAAACAGCGGGGTGGGGGGGTAGTTAGATGGGGGAGGCGGAGAATGGCGTGACCGGGGCGAGCTTGCAGTGAGGAGATCACGCACTCACTGGAAACACGAACCCTCAAAAAAAAAAAAAAAAAAAAAAGAGCCCACATAGCCAACACAATTCTAAGGAAAAAGAACAAAGCTGAGCCATCACACTACCTGAACTTCATACTATACTACAAGGCTACAGTAACCAAAACAGCATGGCACTGCTACCAAAGCAGATATATAGACCAACGGAACAGAACAGAGTCCTCAGAAATAACACCAGACATCTACAACCATCTGATCTTGGACAAACCTGACAAAAACAAGAAATGGGGAAAGGATTCCCTATTTAATAAATGGTGCTGGGAAAACTGGCTAGCCATATGTAGTAAGCTAAAACTGGATCCCTTCCTTACACGGTATGTAAAAATTAACTCAAGATGGATTAAAGATTTAAATGTAAGACCTAACACCATAAAAACCCTAGCAGCAAACCTAGGCAATACCATTCAGGACATAAGCATGGGCAAACACTTCATGACTAAAACACCAAAAGCAATGGCAACAAAAGCCAAAATAGACAAATGGGATCTAAATAAACTAAAGAGCTTCTGCACATCAAAAGAAACTATCATCAGAGTGAACAGGCAACCTATAGAATGGGAGAAAATCTTTGCAATCTACCCATCTGACAAACGGCTAATATCCAGAATCTACAAAGAACTTAAATTTATAAGAAAAAAAAGAAAATCCATCAAAAAATGGGCAAAGGATATGAACAGACACTTCTCAAAAGAAGACATTTACACAGCCAAGAGACATATGAAAAAATGCTCATCATCCCTGGTCATCAGAGAAATGCAAATCAAAACCCCAGTGAGATACTATCTCATGCCAGTTAGAATGGTGATCATTAAAAAGTCAGGAA